GCCTTTGCACATAAAAACGCTGCCTTTGCAGCAGTGTTACTGGCCCACAGCTCTGCTTTTCAGAAAGACTGGGAGGATGCTCTATGGAAATGCCAAGCTTGGGGTGGACACTTCTGGGGGTCTCTTTCAATGTGTAACTAGAAGGAAACGAAACGAAGTAAGACAACAGAAAAAATGTAAGGCTACAGGATCACTGTAAAGAGCTAATTTATTTGCAAATACCACAGCTTGGTTTAAATGTTGGGTACTTTCTTGGTAAAAATTTTTAAGAGCAGAGAACGAAGACTGTAAGAGCAATCTGTGCTCCTCTATAACACAGGGAGTTCAACCTGGGGCGGTGCTCTGTGACAACCTAGAGGGGTGGGATGCGGGTGGGGCAGGAGGGAGGCTCCCAGGGGCAGGGATATACACATGGTTATGACTGATTTGCATTGTTGTACAGTAGAAACCAATACAACCGTATAAAGCAATTATCCTCCAGTTAAAAATAAACTTAAAAAAAGAAAGGGGCAATCAAAAATAGGGTGTTATAAATGGTTTGTACACTAAAGCTCAGAACTCAAGGCATGTGTTTGAAAGTATAGTAGCTATCTTGTGATAGAAGCCAGTTCTGCAACATCAAATGTATTCTCAGTAGAAAGTAGGAGAGCAAGAATTAGAAAAAAGGCTCTGTTGAAACCAAAACAACCCTCCCCAAACAAAAATTACTTTAAAATGGCATTCAGCAATCCAGTGACCCTCTGGTAGCCTTAAATCAGATTGATAAATTACCAACTTAAATCTTGATAGATATCATAAAGATCTTAATATTTGCATCTATGCACAATTTACTCCTACATTCACCTTACATTATTGCTCAAGAATATTCCAAATTCCTGGAAAAAAAGGGTTGCTAGTCACCGCCTGTCAACATGTCTTTCCCTCTTTGAGAGGACACCAACAACAATATAATAGATCATTCCTGTGTTGACACCTATTTTCTCACCCTAACGGTCGATTTCACTGATGGATGCTGGCGAAGATTCCTCACCAGGAATCATTAGCAAATCAAAGATTCTAACTAGATGCTGTCATTCTCCCACCCAGGGCCAAAAAAAATGCCGCCAAAGTAATAAATCTTGCCTCAGTGCACTCCCTTCTGTCCTGAAGCTTCTTGGTTATTATTATTATTTTTTTTTTTACAAAACTTCTTTTAGTTATCTATGTCAGGGATTCTAATGAAGCATCAGTGATCTGTTAAGTAAAGGCACTAAGAAATTTGAGAACAAAAACATCAACAAGAAGGAACCATCTGTATATCTGTGATAGGTGATGGGCATTGGCCAATTTCAAAACAATGAAGAGCTTTACTAAAAGTCTGCTTTTTTTCCCCTAGAGATGAAAACATTGCATTTCAAAGTACATACCCACAGTATCCTAGAGAGAGAAAAATTTCGGCTAACATTGATTTTGTGTTTCCTTGCAGTGTTTTTAGTAACTCCTAAGCAGAAGTCTAAATTTTAAACACATGCCTGAGGATGTTCATAAGAATTTTTATTGTATGAAATAGGTATGTCTTAATAATTATGAAAATCTAACCCAAATCATTTTGTTCACACTGCTAAACTGCATCCACCACGATGTATTTCAGTTAGTTTTGTCTCTGAGGCTGCATCAATCCTTAGATATTCATAAATTTCTTATCAGGACCTCCATCTCTCTTGTTCATCTCTCTGAATCCAGAAACTGGCCCAACCCAGTGGACTGGGTGGATGCTTAACCAAACTGTGTTCTCCTCTTATAATGAAAACTTTTTACAAACAAGATTTCATGTGTTGAGAGGGGAAAAAAGAATACTTGCTCTTCGGTCATGTCATCTCTCTCTGGGGTTCACCCAGATCACCCTCTTGGGTTACCCAGATGAAGTTTGTACACATTACAGTAAACAATCAGTCCACAAAAATACATTGAAACCACCAAATAAATGAAGTAATCAGACCAGCTGAAAAATTTTCAGCATCTGGGAAAATAACACCCCAAGTGCCAAGACAGTTACCTAAGAAAATTTCTAAGTATGTTACTCAGGCCTGAGAGGCAACAGGTAGGTGGATTCCATGCCAATTAGAAAGTGTTATGATTGGCAAACCACTGTAAAACTCTAAAACTGCAGTTTAATGGAAACGCTGGCTGTCATCCCCAAAGTACATTTCAAGGAATCGCAGAACTGTAGAATTAAAGGCAGCTGAATGGAAGTTTTCATCCATATTGAACTCAGAAGATTAGGTAGTAACACAAGAACTTTTGCAGGTGTCCCAATTCTTAATCTGGCATTTCTTCCACCACATAACCCTTCATTCCTCTGATGGAGCAGAACAAAGCAGAGTTCATGTGACAAGCTCCCAGCCCAGCTCAGAGATGGCGTAGAGCTGATGGGGTGAGGGGTGGGGGGGACAGGCATGGAATGGCCTGATACTTCAGGGTCCAAGGGAACAGCCAGCCCCAGCAAACTGGAGCAGAGCGGGCACAGTGCTGAGATTCAAAGAGCAGACTTATTCCCAGTCTTATGAAAACAGTAACACCCGACTATTCTCAAAGGGTGGCGGAAACCAACAGCTTTTCAGGTTCTGGGAGCCTCTGAAACTGTTTCCCAAATGTTTGGGGTTTGGCCCTAAAATACATACACGCTTTGTCCCAAGGCATCTTTCCCTTAATTTTTAGGCCCCAGTGTATTTTAAGGTAAATTGATCCCACATGCTTCTGATTCATTTACACTGAACTCATCAGGCTATGTTTGGAAAGAGCAATCCAAAGGCCAAGAAGCCCTTTGAGACTGTTTTTATGTGCCTTTTTTCTTAGAAACAGGAAGCTATGTCTTGACATGGACGAATAGAATGCAAGCCCTCGAGACTCAGGTCTGGTTCCAAAGGTGACCCCTCTGAAACCCAAAGGTCCTCAAATCACCAAGACAAGGCTGCCCCTCCTACTTTTTCAGAAGTTAAAGGAAACCTTACCTTCATGGTGTTACGAGCCTGAATCAGTCATTCAGAGCAGCTCAGCGCAGAGCTCACATAAGCCTTGAGCGTTCTAACTCCACGCCCATTCCTGACACCTAGCACTCCAATATGCAAGGGGAGCCCCAGGCCCAGAGCCACCTCTTCTCTCTGCTCTGTGGAGCTGGGCCTGCACCCTGGCAAGTCTGTAGGAAATTGCTCTTTTTATCTGAGCTGTGAAACTGGGCTGTTCAGTTGTTGACTTGTTGCTGGTGTTACTGTTAACCGTCACTTGAACCTGACAGAGGAGGCACAGTGAGAAACGATTTGGAAAGGGTTCCTTTTAGGGAGGAAGAAATTAACATATCCCCTCCGGCGGCTGACCAGAACCAGGAAATGTTTGACTTTGCTTCCTCTCCTTTTAGTATAAAAGAAGCCTGAAGTCTAACTCAGGCAAGATGGCTTTTTGGGATATGCATCACAAGTCTCAGTCTGCAGACTTTTGAACAAAGTCATCGTTCTTTGCCCCAACAATTGGTCTCTCAATTCACTGACCTGTAGTGAGGCCAGCAGTGTGATCTTGGACTCGTAACAGGGTTGACTCCTGACATGAAACACAAAGGAAGCTGCCCTGGTCAGTTCTCCCATCTGTGACCTGCTCTGTTGACCCCCTTTATCCTTGCCTGGGGTTCCAAGGCTGAAAGGAATCCAGGGCACTGACTAGGAAAAGGACAATGAACTGTACAAATAACTGAAACGATGTTGAGGATAAAGTCGCCAGGGTTTGGTCCCAATTGTCTCCCTCTCTTTATACAATGCACTCTCAACTCCACCTACTCATGAACTTTTAAAAATTCTTAGGCCCTACCTAAGAACAAGTAAATCAGAATCTCTGAGGGTAAGGCCCAGGAAGTCAAGTTTTTGTCTTGAAAACTCCACTGGTTATCCTACTACACCATCAGGGGTGAGGGCCACCGATTTAAAGCAACCTGAATACTTTCCTGTTCTGGAAAAGTACCTGGAAATAATCCACATCACAGAGGGTTTGGTCATTGTCTTCTAATGATTTGGGGTTGATGCTCTCCTCTCCCTCACTCCCATTATGTTTTTAATGATGATCATGCTCTCTGGAGACCTTTTCAAGCCAGTACCCAATAAACTAAAGAGAACTAGAACCAACCCCAAAGGCTGAATCATCTCCCATGTCAAAATGAACCAAACACAAGATCTCTTCAAATATTTAATCAGTTTGGAGACCTCTGCCTTCCAACCCAGTTGGGTAAAAAGTCAAAAGAAAGCATGATGAAGGGGTCTTCAAAGAAAACACTGGGATAAAATGGAGAGGAGACTGGGTTTGGGAAGACAGAATATAACATGTGCCTTATGACCTTTTGAAGGCATTCTACCATGGATTAAAAATAATCATCATCATCAAAATGAACAAGAAAGGATTAAACAGTTATACAAATTTAAGGACAACTAAAACTTCTCTTATGGCTGAAAATACCAGACATGGCTTTGAAATAGACTCTTTAAAAACCTTTAGATCATTCTGTGGTTTCTTTCTATAGCCTTCTGTACATGCAAGAAGCAAGCTAGCTATACCCAGCATCCCCAGGAGCTTTGGGGGGCCGTGGCAAAGAAGCAATCAGCGAGAGATAGAGAGAAGGCCTGGAGGAGGTGAGAGAAAGTGGTTCACAGTTTTTGAACGTGGACTCAGACCCCCGCAAACCTATTTTCTTTGAAAACTATGGCAATAAACTGAAGGCCTTGAAAAATCACTGTCGATCTCAGGTCAGGGTGCCAGTGATAATGCTTTTCGATAACTGCATCGTAGAAACTGGGGAAGTATGTCCTTCAAAGTGATGGGTCTATAAGTATAGAGGCGTGGTTGGGACTCATACTGACTCCTCAGGAGACGTTCAGCCGAAAAGGCCTCACGTCTGTCTCATTCTCGGGCCCTCTCTGGTTTCTCCGCTTCTCTGTCCCTTGGTGCAGTTGGAGGCAGTGTCAGAGGCTGCAGCCCGGCGCTCAGAACGGGTACTGGGACACATATATCCGCAGTCGGATCACAGAGCTGCCTCTGAAGTTGATGACAGTGTTGACCGTGATCATTTCCAAGTCCAGTTGTATGTCCCGGGGCCCTTTGATGGGGCGAGTCATCACCAGGGTGGCACTGATGGGGCCCGTTTGCTGTGGACAGAACCGGGTATACTAGTTAGAGAAGGTCTGACCGGCTGACGGAGCCAAGGGTAAGCTTGACTCTGGAAGCTGTCACACAGCAAGCAAATGGTACAGATGAGCCTGTTTGCAGGAACAGGAATAGAGACGCAGACGGAGAGAACAGACGTGTGGACACAGAGTGGGGAAGGGAGCTTGGGACCAACTGGGAGAAGTATTGACATATACACAGTATCATGTGTAAAACAGAGAGAGAGAGGCTACCGTATAGCTCAGGGTACTCGGGTCGGGGCTCTGTGATGACCCGCAAGGGTGGGATGAGGGTGGTGGGAGGGAGGCTCAAAGGGAGCGGATGTATGTATCCATAAAGCTGATTCATGTTGTACAGTGGAAACTAACACATTGTAAAGCAATTATACTCCAATAATAAACTTTTTAGAAAAAGAAAACAAACAATGGTAGAGAGGGCGAGGAAAGCTGTCCTTCAGGTGACATGGCCTCTGGGACCGTCACCAAAGCCAAAGGTCAAGTGGTCTGGTCGCAGCCAGCCTCTGTAGCCCCAATCGGGGTGCTCCCCCTTGCCCACTGCCAGCAGACTGGCATCCCTTGATGCCCTCCTCCCTGACTTTGCTTCATGTTCCCCTGGCTTCTCCCTGCTGCCCCTTCAGGTCTCACTGAAACATCACCTCCTCAGAGGAGCTTCTCTGCTTTTTCCAATTTAATTCAGGTCCCTGTGACCTTCTGCCAGTGTACCCCCTACTTTACTGAGGAAGAAAAGTATTAATTATCACGTGTCATCATCCATGCTATTCACCAGGTCCACGTCTGATGTCTAGGTCCACAGTAGGCTATGAACTCTTTAAGAGCAAGGACTGGGGGTGGGTTTTCCACCCCGAGCCCTCCAGAACCCAAAATGATGCCTGGCACATGGTAAATGTTCAGTGACTGTGTCTTGAATAAAAGAACAAACAGTTGCCTAAACTGTGTGACTCCAGGCTGTCGCTTCACTTCTCTGAACCTCCTCTCTAAAAAGAGAGTTGGTACCAGATTAGCAGTTGCCAAGTAAACAGCTCCATAGCACCTGGGACACTTTTTAAACTAACAGTTCCAGAGACCCATTCCAAGATTTTCTGCTGCAGTGGATTTTTTTTTGATGATGCCTGGGGAAGTGTGACTTGTTTACCAGCCTCCAGGTGGTTCCAAGTGCAGCCTCTGCTGGAGCTTCTGGCTGGACACACCGCACCCCCTGCCCTGCAGCTTCGTCACCCTGTGAATCTATCTCTGTGGTCCTGATAACTTCATGTGAGTTTTTTTCCTCCACTGAATCTTTTCCTAAAGTTTTCAAGGTGGTGAGGAGAGAGGACTGACATAACTTAGCTTCTGCTATGTGTGAAACACTCTTCTGGCCACTTTTACATACATATTCTTATTTAATCCCTGTAAAAGCTCTGAAAGGCCTGGCTACTCAAAGTGTGGTCCTTGGACCAGCAGTATCAGCATCACCAGGGCACTTATGAGTAATGAAAGACCTCAGCACCAGCCTAAGGCATACTAAGCCAGTAGCTGTAGCTTAATACAATCTGCAGGTGACTCATGGGCACATCAACAATTAAGGGGTGCTCATCTAAAAGCACAGGACCCAGTCTGGGGACCCTAGCTGCCATTCTAAAGGTATGTCTTATTATCCCCTTGTTCTGTTGTTTCTTGTGAACTGAGTCTCCATAAGTTAAGTCACTGCTTAGGGTCACTAGACCACTTATGGGCAGGGAAATGGGGTTCCATTCCAGTGCTTTTGACCACAAACTTCAGGCATCTTTCACTGCACAATTAACAGAAAAGACTGATACGTGTTTTATTTCTCCCTAGCACTGCCCTGAAGGACAAATACTCAGAGGGGCAGGGCAACAACAAGAAAGTAGGTCCCTGGAAAGTAAATAGCACAAGGGAACAGGACATGCTGGACAATCCCTTCCTACAAGTTGCAATGCCCAGCACTGTGTCCAGAAACAAAGCAACAAGCTCTGCAAAATCAAGAAACTTGGCTTGTTTAAAGCCACACCAGACATTTTATCTGTCTCCATGAAGGGAGAGCTCCCCATAAAATTCTGGACATCCCCAAGAGCTGCCACAGGTATGACAGGGCAGGGCAGGCAGACAGGTCCCACCCTGGTAATGGGACCTCCCCTGTCCTCTGGGCTATCAGCAGCCTGACACTACACAACTTCCTCTTGGCATCAGCTCCCTCTGTTCCCGTCAGCATCCATGCAATTGGCACCCTCTCATACAAAGGTTCGCTCCTACTTCCTTGTCAACTCTTGCAAAACCTTGGAGCCCTGGGCTAGGACTTCAGAAGGAACAGCCATACAGGGAAATGCCCAGGGCATTTACAGGTCTATTATCTCACCAGCTTTTACTGTTTGCACAAACAAAGGCCAGGGGTTGAGGACCCTGAGCTGTGGGCAGGCTTGGGCAAGCTGTGGGCAGGAGAGTTGCAGAGCCTGCGACAGGGAGTGGAACAGCTGGAAACTTCCCAGTTGTTCCTTTGGGCTGTCCTTGTAAATGTCTCCAGAGTGTGAGAGCATCACTGCCTCTTCTATTTGGAAGTAGTCTTAGAGGTCAACCAGTCTGATCCCCAGCAGGGTCAGATCTGCAGCAGCCTGAGAAAGGCCCGCCCACAAGCACACGGAGGACTCAAGTGCCTGCCAAGTTTGCTGAGGACAGATATCCCCCCTCCTCACTAGGCTTTTAGGGCAGACCCAGGGCATTAATGAAATAGGCCCCCTGAGAGGCTCTGGTCATTAGTGAACCTGGTGATCACTTGGTACAAAATGATGATGGTGATGGTAGTCATGGCTGATACTCAGCATCTGGCTACTACTTGGGCTTCCCTGGTGGCTCAGATGGTAAAGACTGCCTGCAATGTGGGAGACTCAGGTTCGATCTCTGGGTCAGGAAGATTCCTTGGAGAGGGGAAGGGCTACCCACTTCAGTATTCTTGCCTGGAGAATCCCCTGGACAGAGGAGCCTGGTGAGCTACAGTCCATGGGATGGCAAAGAGTCAGACATGACTGAGCGACTGACACTTTCCCTTTCTTTTGCATACACCTCCTTTTTAATCTTTATAACCCTACAAAGTAATGTAGCACATGGTACTAGAGCATCTGACTCCAAAAATCAAGCTTCTAGCCACTAAACTCAGATAAGTTCTCAGTATCTCTCCATTTCCAGACCATCCCAGGCACTTAGTCTACTTGAGAATCACTCCTTTGAATTGTAAATGTTTGCCTGGTTGTTTTTCCCTCTCCTCATAGTGTGGAATCCTCAGGGCAGAAGCCACATGTTCCTAAACTCTCAGAGCTGCATATGTAGTGGAGCTGTATTAACGTCAGTGACAGAAGGTGGAGCGAGTCTCGATGCCGGTGAAGGGGCCTGCAGGGGAGTAGCTTGCCAACAGCCCACCTGACCGTCTGTCTTCTTGGGCCTGCCCCCACACAGGCTCAGGTTTGTCCTGAGTCAACCAGCGAGAAGGCGTTGTCTGACACAGGGCAAGCAGCCAGGCCACAGCAAGTCAGCTTTCCCTGGCCCCGTCACCTGATCTCCATGCCCTTTGGCGCAGTTTGTACCCTGTGCCCGGACTCCTTCTTCCCGTCCTAACTGTCCCTAAGTCACCTGGCCAAAGCCAGTCACCAGTTGTCTGTCCAGGTCTCGGGGGAGGCAGAGTGCCAATGGGGGCTCATGAAAGGGATGTGTGTGTGTGTACCTGTGTGTATGCATGTGAGTATTTGCATGTGTGTATGTACCTGTGCTGGAGAAAGCAATGGCACCCCACTCCAGTACTCTTGCCTGGAGAATCCCATGGACGGAGGAGCCTGGTAGGCTGCGGTCCATGGGGTCGCTAAGAGTCGGACACGACTGAGTGACTTTACTTTCACTTTTCACCTTCATGCATTGGAGAAGGAAATGGCAACCCACTCCAGTGTTCTTGCCTGGAGAATCCCAGGGATGGGGGAGCCTGGTGGGCTGCCGTCTGTGGGGTCACACAGAGCCAGACACAACTGAAGTGACTTAGCAGCAGCAGCATCTACCTGTGCACATGAGCGACTGTATGTGTGTGTACGTACAGGCATGTGTGCATGTGTGTGTAGATTTGTGGGTATGTATGTGTGTGGCTTGTCTGCTGTGTGAAATAGAGCTCTTCCCAGGAGACTGTAACACCATCAGTGACACTCAGGGTGGCAGAGCCTAAACAGTCATCAATACCCACCCCCGACAAGATGCTGCAGTCCCTTGGGCATCTCCAACATCTCCAACCTCGCCAGGGCCAACAGCCCACAACCTCCTAATAACAGTAGCAGCAGCTGCAGAAATGACTCTACCAATACAATCATAACCAGTGCTTATTGGACACTTTCTATTGTGATTAGATGTTAAAGGAGACTTTTTTTGTTATTTCAATTTTGGCTGAGACCCCAAAGCTAGACAAGTACCCCACATCCTAAAGAGAAATGTGAGAGTATGTACAGATACTAGGGGCACACTGTCTGGGTTCTAATCCTGCACTGGGGTTTCCTAAGCTGTGAGATCTGGGGCAGGTTCCTTCACCTCTCGGTGTCTCAGTGCTCTCATCTGGAAAGTCAGGGAGGGCAAGCAAGCTCTAGCAGCGGTGCCCAACCTTCTGGGCACCAGGGACCGGTTTTGTGGAAGACCGGAAGGCGGGGGATGGTTTCAGGATGATTCAAGTGCATTACATTTATTGCGCACTTTATTTCTACTATGATTACATCAGCTCCACCTCAGATCATCAGGCAGTAGATCCCAGAAGTTGGGGACCCCTGCCCTAGAGGACAGGGCTATGATGAAGATGAGAGCATTGATATATGGAAAATACTTGACATATGTCCCGCACCATACAGCATCAGTTTTGACTGCTATTTGTGTAATTTCTCCTGCTGTTGTCATACAGGACTTAAAGGCCATGGCCCAGCTCCAGATCTCTCACTCTGTCACCTCCAGCCTGTATAAGTATATCAGACACACTTACCAGCCCCCAAATCATGCAAGAGGGCCTTTCAGTGTGGGCCCTCTGAACTTAAGGATGCAGAGAGTGCACCGGACTCTCCCAGAGAAGAGAGCCCAGAGATACTGTGTACCACGCGGGGGACAGGGGGCTGTGGGGGAGCTGGCTACTGGTGTCCTGAAGGCCCAGTGCAAGGTCTGCCCGCCAGATTGAGGGAACACCCACACATGCAAACTTTCTGAGAGAGCAGTTTGGGGTGGCAAGCAGCCAACCGGAGGCCCTCACCCACACCTGGGAATGGTCAGTACAAAGTCCTCAGGGAAGTCTCCAAAGAACCGACAAAGCATCCCATGAAAGCAAGAGCATTTGGGTCCCAGAAGAGAGCACCAGGTCCTGCCTACAATGGCAACAAGGGAGTAAGACCCTGGCCCCCCTCACCACTTCCGTTCCACCATCTGTACCCCCAAAACCCCAGAGGAGGAGCCAGGTCAGCACAATCAGTGAGGAAAGGGGAAGAGGAAGGCAGGACAGAGATTCAAGCTGGCAGGGAGGGCGGGGGGAGGCAGGGACTTTACACTGATAGACTCATGGTTGGCTTCTACCCAAAGCAGCTGGGACTTCTGACATGGGGGAGAAAGACAATTTGATAGTAACTGACAGCATCTCTGAATCCAATGGGCTCCACCTGAGACTCACCCAGGTGTGTGCAGATTCAAGATAGCCAGAGGAGAAAAAGAAAGTTATTGAAAGTTTCATCCTGCTTGTTTGATAAAAAACAGCTGCTCTGTGCTCCAAGCACTGTGCTAAGTAGATGATCTCATCCAATCCCAGAGTAGATACTATCATTATCCCCTCTATACAGATAAGGATGGCTTCCCAGGTGGCACTAGGGGTACAGGACCTGTAACGCAGGAGACATAAGAGATGCGTGTTTGATCCCTGGGTTCAGAAGATCCCCTGGAGAAGGAAATGGCAATCCACTCCAGTATTCTTGCCTGGAGAATCCCATGGTCAGAGGAGCCTGGCGGACTACAGTCCATAGGGTTGCAAAGAGTCAACACGACTGAAGTGACTTAGCATGCACAGATGAGGAAACTGAGGCTCAGAGAGATTAGAGTGGGTGTCCAAGGCCATAGGGTTGGTGAGTTGTGGAAGGGAATGAGGTGGGTCAGCCTGGCTCCACAGCCCACGACTGCGTGGCCTCTTGAGGAGGGCACTGCTGCTTTGCACACTTTGGGAAGGGAAATCTTACCTCCTCCTGCAGGGAGGCTGCCTGGCTTCACAGGGCCCCTACATCGGGCCTGTCTTCTCTTCCCAAGAACAGCTTTTAGGACCTTTCCAGCCAGGATCCAGCTTCCCATCCCTAAGTTCCTTCAGCCATTCCTGGGGCGGGTTATGTGCCCTCATCCCCTCTGTGTCATGGCATCCTTAGTTGAATAAATGCTAACCAATTAGAGCCCTTCTCAAAGTTCTCCAGAGAGAGCGAGCAAACCACATATGGCTCAAAGTTTTGTGAGTTTCAAGGGTCCCCTCATCACTGTAACAATCTAGGCACTAGAGGAAGCTCAAAGGAAGGGGCCCCCCTCCTGGTCACTCGCCTGCAGAAGACGATCTTCCTCCCCCACCATCATGGGGCAGCTCTTACAAGTCAGCTACTCGGGGAACATTTGGATCAAGGGGAATTTAGTAGGTGGTGACCTGGCCAAGACAAAGCCACTTTCTACAGAACTTCTATTCTGCTGGGGGGAAAACCTAAAGCAGCTGATACAGGTGATAGTATTTTAAATCCCCCGAGAGGGGCATCTTTGTACCTTATGATTGGGACCTGCTGTGTCTGTACAGATGACGGAGGCCAGATGGGAGAATGCTGGCGGGCTGGGCTTATGCTCAAGGGGGCAGCAAACCCACAGAGGCGGGCAGAGGTGGGTTCCGCTGGATGGCCATGGCTGATGGGGACGCAGGAAAGACTGACAGAGACACAGCTCCATCTTTTTCATCTTGAGAATTTCCTCTACCCTCAACTCATTCCATCTTCTTACAAAGCCCGTGACCCCACTACACTGTTCTACAGATGCTGGGTCCACAAGTGCATTATCACATGTGACCTGGCCCTGTTCGAGTCTTGTCCAAAACATATTAGTGAGGAAACAGGCATGATACTAGCTCCTGAGGCCTTTTCTAATCTGTTCTAATCCTGCTTCTGAAACCTCTCTGTTTTCAGATGGTCCCAGCCCCAGAGGCAAAGACTGGAAGACAGGGGCTTGGGAGAGGGTGGGAAGAGAGCTCAGTCACACAGTTCTTCCACCAGCCCACATGCCACCCCTGTCAAAGCTGTGAACTTCTGAGTCAAGTGCCCACACTGACCCTGGAGGACCACATACTGTGTTCATTAAAAATTCAGATTCCCTGCCAGTCCAGGCTCGATGCATGATACAGGATGCTTGGGGCTGGTGCACTGGGATGACCCAGAGGGATGGGATGGGGAGGGAGGTATGAGGGGCATTCAGGATGGGGAACACATGTACACCCATGGCGGATTCAAGCCAATATATGGCAAAACCAATACAATGTTGTAAAGTAAAATTAATTAATTAATTAATTATTTTAAAAAAAGAAATGCAGATTCCTAAGGTGAATCATGGCCCCCAAGGGTATCAAGTTCTAATCCCTGGACCCTATAAATATTACCTTATATGGAAAGGGGATCTTTTGCAGATGGGATTAAGTTAAGGATCTTAACACAGGGGGATTATCCTGGATTATCTGGGTAGGCCCTAAATACAATCACAAGTGACATTCTAAGAGACCAGGGAGATTTGATACACACAGAAGAGGAGGAGGGAATGTGACAAGGATGCAGAGATTGGAGTGGTGTGGTCACAAATCAAGAAAGACTGGCAGCACCAGAAGCTGGAAGAGACAAGGAATGGACTCTCCCCTGTAACCTCCGGAGGCAGCATGGCCCTGCTGACATCTTGATTTCAGTGTGTGCGTGAGTGTGCTAAGTCACTTCAGTTGTGTCTGAATCTTTGTGACCCCGTGGACTGTAGCCTGCCAGACTGCTCTGTCCATGGGATTCTCTAGGCAAAAATACTGGAGTGGGTTGCCATGCCCTCCTTCAGGGGATCTTCCTGAGCCAGGGATGAAACCCTCATCTCTTACATCCCCTGCATTGGCAGGTAGGTTCTTTACCACTAGCACCGCCTGGGAAGCCCAGAGCAGTGGGTAGATTACAGCACAGTGACAATGATTTTAGACTTCTGGCTTCCAGAATAAATTCCTGTTGTCCTAAGCCACCAAGCTGGTGACAATTTGTTACAGCAGACATCAGAAACCGATACACTAGGTCTTAGCCACCATCTTCTTTTTTTTTTTTTTTTCCACCATCTTCTGAAATAAATTCTCTAGAGAGGAAGTTCTGGAATTCACTTTTTCAACAAGCATCCAAATTCACACTGAAATGTGAAAAACATCGCTGTAAGACAGTGGGCTCCAAAGACATGTGATCCCTACAGAGGTTGAGGGAGATGAAGCTCAATGATAGAAATGGTACAGTATCACATCTGTGTAATTTACAAATAATCAAACACATTTAGGATGTGTGCTCTAAAATTTGTTCCTGATAAATCCACATCAATTTATCCTGATATGGCTCAATCGATGCTAGCCAGTCAAACTTTCTACAGTGATAGAAATGTTCTATGTCCAAGCTAATACAACAGCCACATGTTGCTACTGAGCCCTTGAAATGTAGTTAGTGCAATGACAGAACCTAATTTTTAATTTTATTTATTTTACTTCATTTTCATTAGTTTAAATTTAAAGAACCACATGACTACTGTGTTGGACAACACAGGTAGAGCCCACTTCTTTGAGGAATGCCTGTAAGTTCACTGCTATGTAAGTGCCATGAAGGCAGGGATCGGGACCGTTTTGTCCACTGCTGTAGTCAGTTTCTAGAAGCAAATAGTAGGGACTTGATGCGTGTATCAGTACTCAGTTGCTTCAGTCGTGTTGGACTCTTTTGTGACCCCATGCACTGTAGCCTGCCAGGGTCCTCTGTCCATGGAATTTTCCAGACAAGAATACTGGAGTGGATTTCCTCCTCCAGGGGATCTTCCTGTCCCAGGGACTGAACCTATGTCTCCTACAGCTCCTGCATTAGTAGACAGTTCCTTTACCACTGAGTCACCTGGGAAGCCCAGGGACTTGAAAGAATATACATATATAGATACATAGATATAGATATGTCTATATCTGTAAATATAACTGAATCACTTTGCTGTACAGCTGGAACTAAGACAACATTGTAAATTGTCTATACTTCAATTTTTGAAAAATGGTTAAAAAAAAAAAAAGAAGAACTGCAGGAAGAAAGAGACCTACGATTGCATCTTGGCCTAATTTCTCATTGCACAGATAAGGATCCTGAGGCTCACAGAGGAGAAGCAACTTTCTCCAGGCCACTCAGAAAGTGAGAGGAACCAGGACAGTGGAGTCCTGACTCCCATCCACTTTCCCCTCCCGCCTCCACACCCACTCCTCTGGACTGCCCTCTGGCCTGTTTCTAGAAGCACACTCCAGGCTAGACAACAGAACACCTTGTGGAAGATGGTGACCACCACTCAGCACCCCCTCTTACCCGCATATAGAATTCTCTGCCCTCATTCCCAGACTTGATCTGGAAAATGTAATAAGCCCCAGGGTAGCGGGTGGTTGCTTGCATTTGGAAGATGTCAGCAGGAACAGAGCGTCCTGACACCACGTCCATATCCCGGTACAAGATGGTGAAGGGCTGGTCTCTGCACCCAGGATTCTCAGCGGGACACATACAGCGGCTGTCGGGAAGGGAAATCATGTGAGAAGGCGGCAGATCCTTTCCAGATGCTGGTTGTACCTACCTCTGTGCTTGAAACATGGAAAAGGAGGACACCCCATTTCCACCATCCAAATGCTGTGTGACTGTAGAAGTCCTCTACTTCTGTCTCTGGTCTAAAAACTCTCCAGCATGTAAGTGAGCCCACTGGTTCCTAGAGAACAGCCTGTTCTGACCAATCACATAGTCCTGTTACTAAAGCATAAACCTGAGTTGTCTGGTTTTCAGAACACTGGGACATCCTGTAATGTACTTCATGATGGTCACATATTTAGTTGGCAAAAGTGTGCTTCATAGCTCTTCACTTCCCAACCATCCATACTCATTGAGAAGCTTTAAAAGTGAGAAATTACAATAGATTGACGGGTCTTGAGCGGTATTTTTTATATTTTCTATTGTACTTACTCCAGTCTGTGTGGAATAGAATTGGGTATTTTCTTTCTCTAAACAAACATCAGAACTCACTATGTACAAGATACAATGTTAGGACAGGACTTTCAGATGTTAGGACATTTACTGTAATGATAAATTTAATGATCTTAAATTTACTCTTTAATAGAAATAAATCATAGACACAAATATCTCTGATACAAAGCATCTCACTTGAAAACTAGTAATAGCATTATCATAGTATAAAGTTGACCTTATTACCAAGGTATGTGTTTTACAGACACCCCTGGATTTATCCCGAATCGCCTCCATCTCTCCTCTCATCCCTGAGATTCCCCCTAGAGGTCAGAGTGCATAACAGGATGAGGATATCTGTTGATCTACGCCTTGGTGGCCAAAACTGGGATTACGCTTTGCTGTTTCTGTCACTCTCCCCTGACTTCCAGTCCACCTTCAAAATCTATCCGTTCTACTTCTAAAATGCAGTCCAAATCCAGCTACTCCATCTCCACTGTCAGTGCACCTCCTCGCTATCTCACCTGGACCATGTGACAGTCTCCTTGATGGAACGGAAGGCTTTCCCACTCCAACCTATTACACCACCGGCAGAGTGCCCTTCGTCAAACATAAATCAGATTATGTCTGTATCCTGCTTCAAAGGTTCTACAGTGGCACCCATTGTGACTTGGATAAAAATAAACTCATACTCTAACCTGTAAAACCTCATGGGGTCTGGTCTCTGTTAGTTTCTCTAACTTCCTCACAGGTCACTGTCCATGTCGTTCATGAGGCTGCAGCTTCTTCCCGTCCCTGAAGACATCAAGCTCGCTCTTGTCTCAGAGTCTTAAACACTCGGTTCCCTCTGCTATTCTACTCTGTAAACATCGACTCGCCTTTCCAGTCCAGCTCAAGGGTCATTCACTCAGAGGGGCTTTTAGACTCCCCAGACTAGACCAAGTCCAGCCTACTCTTTCACTTTGTAAATTTCTGTTCTTCCTGTTCTCAGCCCCTACTACCATCGAGGATCATGGATTCATTATGTGACCATTTGTTCGTTGTCTTTCTCCTCCACAGCATAAGAACAAATACCATAGCGGCTGGCACTGGGCACAGACCAGGAGTCCGACTAACACTTAACAAGTGAGGGTGTAAAAAGAATTTTTAGTGCCTCCCATGGTGGCTCAGGGGTAAAAAATCTGCTTGCAGGAGAGGCTGGATCCACATGCAGGAGGTAGGGGTTCTATCCCCGGTCTGGGAAGATCCCATATGCCAGAGAGCAATTATGTGCCACAACTATTGAGCCTGTGCCTGGAAACTACAACTGTGGAGGCTTCACTCTGAAACTACTGAAGCCCATGCGCCTAGAGCCTGTGCTCTGCAACACCAGAAGACACCTCCATGAGAAACCCTCGTCCTGCGACTACAGAGTAGCCCCTGCTCACTGCAACTAAAGAAGAGCCTGAGGAGAAGCAGTGAAGACCCAGTACAGCCAAAAATAAACAAACAAATAAAATGACTTTTTAAAACGGAATATTTAAAGTTTTTTTTTTTTTTAAAGGCTCCATCAAAACAGCCAAGTCAAGATGTTCCGGGTGCCAAAATAGCCACATTAAAATGTCATGTGTCACACAGAAACTAATAGCTTTCTACAAGAGATTTGGAGGAGGGAGAGATGGCTCCCAGCTGAAGAGGATTGCAAACAGCTGGGAGGTGGCATTGGCACCCAGATCTGAAAGATGGGGCAGGTCTGTCCTTGTGGCAATGGCAGGAACGCCTTCCATGTGCAGAAAATGTGTGCACAGAAGCCGGGAGGTGGGACATTCCCGGGTGTGGGTGAAGGTGAGAGCAGGTCATGCTCGGGTTGGCAGGAACACAGGACACCTGAACAAGGAAATGAGCTGGATAAGGGCGGCTGGAGTGAAACTGGAATGGGGCCTGGAGGCAGGGTGCAGGTGTCTTCCAGGGCTCTCAGCGGCTTGTCAGGGCCCTGCCAGTAACACCAGTTCAGGGAGGGTCCCCACCACAGACAACTGAGACCTGGAGAAACCCAGGGACAACCAGGAATGGGAGTTGGTGAGGGCGGAGTTCTGCGCTGCCACAAAGGGCCCTGAACCAGAAATCAAAGAATGCTGTTCCACAGGGCTACTAAGAAGCACAGCTCTTAGCAGCCATTGAAGACTCCTTTAGGACCTGTCTGCTCCTGGCTTTGTCCTTTTCTGCCAGCTTTTGATCAGAGCAGGAAGCACACTGGTAAGGCATCAATTCCTCTTAGGAGCTGTGTCCTTAGAGGCATGCACGATGGACGTGTTCGTTCCATCCGTGTATCCCAGTTGGGGGTCTGGGAGCTTCGGGGGCAGTAAACAGGTGACTAGAAGGGAGGAGGGCAGAAGACATCCGTGTGCGTGTGTGTGTGTGTGTGTGTGCGTGCACGTGCCTGTTGTAATGCATGTAGGCTGCTGGGGAACTGAGACAGATAAATAGGAACTGAACAGTAGGAAAAGGAATTTCTAGTACACAGGGGCAGAAAACCACTGTTCTAGCGTATTCACTCTGTAGAGGTTGTCTTCACTTCAGTTCTCACCTCAACTAAATATTTGCCATCTGGTGATTTCATTCAATCACTATTGTGACATCAAAAACTTGATTAGAGCAAGCTAATTACCCTTGGTTAATGAGAACTCTCTAGCGACCTGTCCAGCCCCTCGCTACCCCCAACAAGGTCCAGGAAGACTAGAAGTATCCATTTCACCTGGGGGCTTGTCTGCAAGGCTGAGTCTCACACCAAATCAGGTCCATGGAATCAGAATTGGGCCATTAACAAGATCCCTGGGTGGTTTCTATGCACGTGATCTTTGAGAAGCCCAGCTCTATCTAAAGACCCTGTATATCCACCAAAACAACAACAACATCCAGAACAAAGTCATTAAAGGGAAAAGGAGGCTCATGAGCCCTGCCTCTCCTCTTGATTAGCTGTCTAGAGAATCTTCATATAGCTCTGGCATGAGTTGGGGAACGGTAGAGAACAGTGGCGGGGGAGGAAGGGCACGCATGTGTTGTGTTCAGTTCAGTCGCTCAGTGGTGTCTGACTCTTTGCTACCCCATGGACTGGAGCACGCCAGGCTTCCCTTGTTGTGTAGGAGACAGTAGACCACATCTTCCATTACCCTGGCAGGTACTCTCTCCTTGACACCACACCGGCAGATTTCTGAAAAAGGCTCCTCATTCACATTCCCATCTCCCCAGGGGAAGCCAGGGCTTACTTATCACTGATCCGCAGATAAGGCTCCTCACAGCGGATGGGGTCGATGCACTTGAAGCCCCCTTGCAAATTGTAGCAGGTCTGCTGCAGGATGCACGTGTGGTTTCTGTGCTCACACTCATTGATGTCTGAAATGCATGATAGACAAGAGGCTGAGGCCAGGCAGCACTTCCAAGGTGACGGACCCGGGGCCAGATGGGCGGGAGTGGGGGTGGAGGCTGCCTGGGTCTTTCTATAGAGCTACACTATCCAGTATGGCAGCCATCGGCCACACATGACCACCGAGCACTTGAAACATGACTAGTCTAAACTGAGATGTGCTGTAAGTGGAAAATACAGATCAGATTCTGACAACTTAATCAAGCGAAGGAATGTAAAACATCGATAATTTTTATATTGAGTACATAGTAGAAAGGTAATATTTTAGATATACAGCTCAAAATAAAATATGCTCTAAAATTAATTTTACCCATTTCTATTGTTTTAATGTGACTACTAGGACATTTTAAATTACATATGTGGCTCGCATTTATAGCTCACAATATATTTCTACTGCCTGGCACTGTTGTGTGCAGAATTCTTGCTTGGTGTTGGCATAAGGCAGGTCCAAGGAGCTGAAAATGAATCTGTTGCCCAGCTACCAGCCTCCACCATCTGCCCCAGTAGGTGAGCATGGGCTGGAAAGCATCTTGAGCAGCCAATCTTGGGGAGACCCCACCCCCTTCACAGCTGGGGGTCACGACCCTTTGAGGCATGCAGCAGTCAGAGGATGCAGGTGTCCCCCCGCACCTGCGTCCATTCTCTAGAAGTTGGTAGAGAAAGGCTGACCAGGCTGCTCTCCAGGGAGCATGAGAAAACTGGCTCATGGACCACGAGCCGGCCATCAGAGGTCCTGGTGGGGTCTGGCGCCTTCCTCAGAGGAGCCGCAGAGACCTGCCTGGGGAGGCAGTACCATCTGCGTGTATCTGCAGAGGGCATTCCAGCAACAAGAGTGACCTTGTCCTTTCTGAAGCCAAAGGATGGGGTTGCAGGGCAGGAAGGTACCAGCCCAGGCTTCCTGCCCAGAGCCTGCCACACTGGGAGTCACCAGCACCCATTTACACCCTCACCCCTGCCACCTTCCCCAGGCAAAGACATCCAGGTGGCCCCCTGAGCCAGCCCCATCTCACACCTCCCCCAGCTGGGTCCCTCTAGTAGCCTCACCCTGGCAGCTCCGGTTGTCGTCCAGCAGGATATAACCAGCTGGGCAGGAGCAGAAGTACGTGCCTGGCTGGTTCACACACTCATGTTGGCAGAGGAACTCAGAGAAGCTGCATTCATCCATATCTGGGGGAGACAAGTTACAAACACCATTTATAATCATAAACTACCTGGGCACGGGAACTTAGTGCTATTCTAGCTTTATTTACCCAAGCCTGCACACTCTCCTTGGTCAGCAAGGAGATCAAATCAGTCAATCCTAAAGGAAATCAACCCTGAATAGTCAGGAAGGACTAATGCTGAAGCTGAAGCTCCAGTACTTTGGCCATCTGATGCAAAGAGCCGACTCATTGGAAAAGACCCTGATGCTGGGAAAGACTGAAAGCAGGAGAAGAGGATAACAGAGGATGAAATGGTTGGATGGCATCACTGACTCAATGGACATGAGTCTGAGCATGACAAAGAGAGGCAGGGAAGGACAGGGAAAAGTCTGGCGTGCTGCAGTCCATGGGGTCACAAAGAGTCAGACATGACTTAGCAATTGAACAATAGTAACCACACTCTCCTGACACATAGGATAGCTTCTCTGCCAAGAAGTTTCCAATTCATTTTTGAACACTTCTGATGGTGGGGAGCTCACTACCTACCAAGGAAGCCCATTGATAATTGGACAGCTCTAATTGGTAGAAAATTCTCTCCTTCGTGGAGCTGAAGTCTGTCTCCATCAAGCTTCCAACACCGTTTGCCTCTGGCTCAGCTACATCATCTACTCATCACTGTCTTATTTTGCCCTGTAGGTGAATCTACCCTCTACATCTAGAGGTGAGATTTGTTTGTCTGCTGGAGTTTTCTGGGTGCGGAGCTCTTCCCCAGACCTAAAAAACATTCACTGGACCTAGTTTTCTGAAAGGGCAACTTTACCAATGCCTTGTTATTTAGTCACTAAGTCATGTCTGACTCTGCAACCCCATGGACTGCAGCACGCCAGGCTCCTCTGTCCACGGGATTCTCTAGGCAAGAATACTGGAGTGGGTTGCCATGCCTTCCTCTAGAGGATTTTCCTGACCCAGGGATCAAACCCACATCTCTTATGTCTCCTGCATTGGCAGACAAGTTCTTTACCACTAGTGCTACCTGGAAAGCCCCAGTTACCAGTGCTAACTCCCCTCTAATCACCCACAAGTTAAGAAAAAATATTATTCCTAAAATCACAACTAAAAGGGACATCTCCAGAAGGCCAGGGGGTGCGAATTTTATTAAAACTTCATTGGGTCCAAGAACCTCCCTGAGGGACTTATGTGGTGGTCCAGTGGCTAAGACTCTGTCCTCCCAATACAGGAGGCCCAGGTTCCATCCCTGGTCCAGGAACTAGATCTCACATGTTGCAACTAAAGATTTCACATGCTGCAATGAAGATCAAAGAGTCCGTGTGCTGCAACTAAGCCCTAGCACAGCCAAATAAATAAATAAATAAATATTTTTTAAAAAAACTTTCTCGAAAGGGAAAACTCTGTGTGGCATGGGGTGGCCCGCCTGTCTCGGGTGGTCCCTGGGATGTGGGACCTGGCACTGGGCCACTCTCCAGCCACAGAGGTGGCGACCTGAAGAGGGAGCCATTGAACTTGTAGACTGTGGCCAGGGATACAAAAGCAGGCGCTCCAGAAAAGCCAACTCTTCATCACACACAGCGTTTGGCAAAAGAACCCCCATTTGAGCCTCACGCGATAAGCTCGCCAAAGAAAACATGTTTTTCTTTCATTTGTTGTGTTCCCGAAAACTTGCTTTCACTGGCTTCCCCATGTGACATGTCCTCGGATTGCTCTCTGGAATCACCCAGCGAGGAAGTCAGCACATGGGAGGCTGCTCCTCCACCATGCGATAATTCCTGTTACATGCCTGCTGTCTCTCACATTCGAGAAGGAAAAACTCCTTTCCTTCTCTCCCAGAGGCCTCCAGGCGATGGGTTAGGAGCCAGCAGAACTGAGATGCTGCTTTGTTAAAGCACGTTAAAGTTAAAGCACACTCAGCGAGTCAGATCTGCTCTAGCCTGCCCACTCCCGCTCCCTGGGGAGCCTCATAGAGTCTGGTCTTGGTCCCAGCCGTCCTAACAGAGTGTCCTGTTTATTTCTGTTAAGCATGTAGATTCCATTCATACCTTTAGTAGAAGGCAGTGGTAAAACCTGTCATTTCCTGAGAGCTTGCTGTGTACCAAGCCCGAGGTTACATGTGCTACATGCCTCATCTTATTCAATCCTCACCTCAGCCCTAGAAAGGGGTGCTATTACTAACCATACTTGACAGAGGGGGAGATTGAGGCTCACAGAGATTAGGTAACTTTTTTTTTTTTTTACTTTTTGGCCACGCCATGCAGCATGTGGGATCTTAGTTCCCCAATAAGGGATCAAATCTGCCCCCTGCATTGGAAGCACAGAGTCTTAATCACCGGACCACCAGGGAAGTCCCAAGTTTAGGGACCTTGACTAAATTTACAGATAACGAGTAAGCAGCAAAGCTGGGATTTGAACCTGGCCAACCAGACTCTGGATTCTGTATGCATCAACACAATGCCATAATGTCTCCCTGAGTAAATCCTGCCTGAATCGGACTCCAAACTGGTGGATGTGGGGAGTCCTGGGCTTGGGAAGTTCCCTGGCTGGGGTTCACCCCACTGCAGATGGAGAGATAGTAACCACCACCACCTAACAGACCCCTCTGCTTATGTTAGAGTCACAATCCCCAGACTTTACTAAGGATTGTGGCTCCATCCTCCATAAGCAGAAATACAATGCACCTAGAGAAAAAAAGTTATGACAAACCTAGACTGCACACTAAAAAGCAGAGACATCAATTTGCCGACAAAATTCCATCTAGTCAAAGCTATGGTTTTTCCAGTAGTTGTATGGATGTGAGAGTTGGACTATAAAGAAAGCTGAGCACTGAAGAATTGATGCTTTTGAACTGTAGTGTTGGAGAAGATGCTTGAGAGTCCCTTGGACTGCAAGGAGATCAAACCAGTCCATCCTAAAGGAAATCAGTCCTGAATATTCATTGGAAGGGCTGATGCTGAAGTTGAAGCTCCAGTACTTTGGCCACCTGATGTGATGTGATGTGATGTGAAGAGGCAACTCTTTGGGAAAGACCCTGATGCTGGGAAAGTTTGAGGGCAGGAGACGGGGACAACAGAGAACGAGATGGGTAAATGACATTCAATCCTCACCTCAGCCCTAGAAAGAGGTGCTATTACTAACCATACTCAACAGAGGGGAGATTGAGGCTCACAGAGGTTACCGACTCAATGCACATGAGTTTGAGCAAACTCTGGGAGACAGTGAAGGACAGGGAAGACTGGTGGGCTCAAGTCCATGGGTTCTCAGAGTCGGACACTACTGAGCAACTGAACAACACAATAGGTAAGTAAGTGAAGTAAGTCAGAAAGAGTAAGTCAGAAAGAAATATCATATATTAACGCATATATGTGGAATCTAGAAAAATGGTATAAATGATCTTATTTGGAGAACAGAAATGGAGACACAGACATAGAAAACAAATGTATGGATGCCAAGGGAGGAAGATAGGGATGGGAAGAACGGGGAGACTGGGATTAATGTATACACACTGCTGCTGCTGCTGCTAAGTCACTTCAGTCGTGTCTGGCTCTGTGCAACCCCATAGATGGCAGCCCACCAGGCTCCCCCATCCCTGGGATTCTCCAGGCAAGGACTACTATGTATAAAATAAATAACTTAGGAGAACAGACTGTAGATCACAGGGAACTCTACCCAGTGCTCTGTGGTGACCTAAATGGAGAGGAAATCCAAAAAAGCTATATGTGTATACATATAGCTGGTTCACTTTGCCATACACAGAAATGAACACAACATCGTAAAGCAACTAGACTCCAATAAAAATGACTATTAAAGATTGAAGCAGGAATAAAAAAAAGAAACACAGGCCAGTTTCTGGCAGTGAGCACAGTTTCAAGCAGTCACATGAGAATCCATCGTGGTTTCCTGGGTCAGATCACTTAGTTGGAACAACACCGTGAAGGTCACAGCTCCCGGCCGGGAAACCAGCAGCACAAGAAGGGAGTGAGTGGGAAGGGACAGACGACAAGCTCCCAGCAAACATCCCCGCGAATCCTGTCTGACTCTCTGCGACCCCATGGACTGAAGCCCACCAGGCTCCTCAACAGAGGGGAAGATTTCTCCTGTCCATGGGATTTTTCAGGTAAGAATATTTGAGTGGGCTGCCATTTTCCTCCTCCAGAGGATCTTCCTGCCCCAGGGGTCAAACCTGCGTCTCCTATGTCTCGTGCATTGCAGGCGGATTCTTCACCTGCTGAGCCATCAGGGAAACCCAGGCCCACAGTGGACAGGGGCTACCTGAAGATTTCAGAGAGTGTGCATCATGACGAACATGGGAAAAAAGATGCCCATTTTGGTTAAAGTGAGTCAACTGAAAATCTTTGCCAAAACACCAAGGATGGCTTCTTGAAAAACCAAAAGTGTCTTACACTTAGGCTTAGAGAAAGTTAAATGAACACAAATGACACTTAAGTCCCCCAGCTCATTTCAACTTGATGACTGCCCCTGTGAAGGTGTTTGTTGGTTGGTTTGTTTTTTAACAAATGAGAAACTGAGGCTCAGGAAGTGACTTGGCCAGGAAAGTACTGAACGGGAGAGCTAGAATCTGAAATTGGCTCTGACTCCACGGTCACTCTCTCACACCTTCTCTGCAGGTGGCCACATCTGTGGATGTGCAGACAATTCTCCAAAATTGAATGACTCCATCCCATAATGCTAAACTTTTCACCTCTTAGTTCCTTAGCCCAAATTCCCCCAAAGGAGTGCCACAGGAGGTGGGGAGAGACGGGGATTGAAATCTAGGAAGAGAGTAGCTTTTTATGCCTAAGGGTATTTTACAGCTATTTCTGGGATTGACATTTAATCGGCCTAAGGCTCTCTGTAACTACCTACTTGTGGCTGTGTCTTTCCTGGCCCTGGGGAGAAGGGCTCATTTGTTTCAGAGAATTCTGTCCCCAAAACACTCTAGTCCTACCTAAAGCTACACACAAGTTCCATTCATGGCCTGGGTCAGTTCCTGTTACAATGAAATCCAGGATTAGGAAACTTTCTATTCTGGAGGACGAAAAGATTTTCATACTCTAGGATATGGCCCACTTGTTTTGAAAACTACAGTGAAGCATCATTAATTTGGACTGTGCTGCTTTACAATTGCTGATGATGCTAAAACTGAATAGAATGGAGTTTAAGTCAACATTTACAAAAAACAGGAAAAGAAAGAAGAGAAGCAAAAATGAAGCAAAGAATGAACTATACATGGCCCTCTGCAGAATGCTACAGGAACAGATAGGAGCAAGAAGCTACTCCTATTCTCAAGGAGTTTACCAGAGTTTACAAGTTTCTAAGATAATTATGATAGAATCCACAGACTAGCATGAGCAGAAAGTCATAGCTTCCTGGGCTTGGAAGGAATTTACAAAAGGTCAACTGAACCATCTGTGTTCTCACAACAAATTAAGATTTTATTCATTCAACATCCAATCATTCATTAGTTGATTTGAAAACTAGTTACTGCATGTTCATGGTGTGCCAGATCTGAAGTTAGGCACTGATTATAGAGATTTTAATAGTTTACATATATAATCTCATTCATTCAACACTCCCCCTCCCAACCCTACCCTGTGAGACTCGCTTTTATTCCTGCTATTATTCTATTAGTACTATCTGCCCTATTCCCATGACTTAACTCAGTGCTGGGTGAAGACAGATAACTCAAACCAGCATGCAAAATTAGGCAATTCCTCTTGCTCTTCAACCCCATGTCAGATCCTAAAAGTTAGCTCCACTGATTTTTGCATTAAGGGTCAAATAACAAGGGACATGCAGTTGCATGGCACCTTTGGGAAGTGACTCATCTCTATTTTGTGTGGTTGTAACCCTGCTGCACTGGAAAATGTCCCAAACTGGAAATCTGCCTGGGAAACAAGAGGAAACACCTGTGAAGAAACCCCTGCCCCAGTGCCCCTAGGACAAGTGGAGTCTCCAAAGCCAAGCTCATTACCACTGCAATGAACGCCATCATCCTCAAGTTCATATCCTGGGTCGCAGCGGCAGATGAAAGAGCCGTAGGTGTTGACGCAGGTTTGCACGCAGGGATTCTCAGTTGCACACTCATTCACATCTGTGGAAAACCAAAGCATATCACTGACCATTCCCACAAGAGAATGTTTGTACTAGTTCAGCAAAAGAATGCACCAGCAACAAAATCCACTACCATCAGGAGACCAGATCCACAGATACCAAGGATCTCCATCTAAGACCTGTCAGATGGAGAGCTCAGACCCCAACGTGTTCACTATAGAACCATGGGTTCCATCTATCCATCCCCTCTGGGGTTGCAAGTTAGGAAGGGTGGAAACGGTGTGTATACATATGATATACATGTGTAGATATGTACACGTTTATACCTCCAAGGAAGTCCACTCTCCAAGGCTCGCCAACAGGAATTTCTAGGCTATATCTGCTTCTTCCCATTCCCAATTAGCTCTTACCTCACCCCCACTGACTTTGAAGTTTCAGATAAAGGGGTAAATAAGCATGATGATTTACAAAAAATAACTATTCACTATGGCTGTGGACTGAACTGTGTCCCTTCCAAAATTCACATGTTGAATCCCTCTACCTCACATGTGATGATATTTGGAGATGGGGCCTTTGGGAGGTAATTAAGGTTAAATGAACTCATAAAGGTGGGGCCTTTATGAAAAGAAGCACTGGAGCTCTTGCTCTTGCTCTTTCTGTTGTGTGAGGACACCGGGAGAAGGTGGCCACCTACAAGCCAAGAAGCACCCAAGCACCCAATCATGCTGGTAACTTCACATTGGACTTTCAGCCTCCACAACTGTGAGAAAGTAAATTTCTGTTGTCTAAGCCACCACAGTCTATGGTATAATGTTTTGTCATGGCAGCCTGAGCCAACTAAGATAGATGGACATAAATAATGTCACTGATTATTACAGAAGGGTCTCATACTCACCGAATCCTCATTGCCTGGGCTCAGAACCATCAACCCATGTTACAAGTTCAGTAGTTAAGGAGAGAACCACAAAAGGGCACAAGGAAACTTTAAGGAGTGATAGGATAGTTATTGGGTTTCCTGGGTGGCACTAATGGTAAAGAATTCACCTGCCAATGCAGGAGACATGAGAGATGAGGGTTCAGTCCCAGGGTCTGGAAGATCCCCTGGAGGAGGGCATGGCAACCCACTCCAGTATTTTTCCCTAGAGAATCCTGGGGACAGAGGAGCCTGACAGGCTACAGTCCATAGGGTTGCAAAAAGTCAGACACGACTGAAGTGCCTATCTTGAGTTGGCAATGGTTTCAGGGGATGTATGTATGTCAAAGTGCATGAAATCATGTGCCTTTAACAGTGCAGTTCATCTTATGTCAATTATACATCAACAAAGATGTTTATCTCGGTTTTGAAGTTGAGAGATGTGCCCAAGTCCCCAAGCTAGCAAGGGCACAGTTGAAAATGGGATGTAAGTCAGGGGTCTTTCCACAATACACAGGATTCATTCTGCAAAGCTCAGAGAAGGGGAGGCAAGGAGGGAGCCATTGGTACAATGGCACTGGCTGACCCATTTTAAGCTCCTCTCCCCGCTTCTCCATATGACAATGACCAAAGTGCCAGCTGAGAAAATTTCTATTCCTCTCAAAGTCCAGGCAAACCTCTTCAGACTCTTAATAGAGATTTGAATGCTTTCAGAATAAAAAGGGAAGTGGCTTGAGAAGTTTTTCTTATAGAAGAGGGCAAGCCCATATCCACATAACTCCCACTTCCTGGCATCTTTGAAACTTTCAGAGGGGCAGAAAAAAATAGATTGCCATACACGGTGAGTCCAGGGAGATGCCAGTCTCCTCCGGTGCAAAGGGAGTCTAGAGGCTGTCCACCCAGGAGGCCAGGAAAATGTCGTGATGCCAGGCTATCCAGGCAGGACGGCACCGAGGAGAAGGAGGGCTCGAGTCCTCGGCTTCCAGCCAGAGGCTGGCTGTGCAAGGAGAGCAAGCTCAGGACCCGCCCTCTTGCAGCTTTCAGCTACTTGCACTTCTGCCCCCAGGGCCCTGGCGGCCCTCTCCGGCCAGCCCTGCCCTCCACACATGCCCGAGGGCCCTTCTGAATCCTGTGGGAGCAGACCCACTCCCCACTCCAACCTGCGGGACAGTACGACTGGACTCTTGGGCTTTACGCTCCTTTCTGCCACCACCTAGCCGCCAGACTCTGGCCAAGTTGCTTAACCTCTTTGAAGCCTGATTTCCTCATCTGCCCTGCCTACCTCACAAGGATATTGTTGGGGCTCCGTGAAATGAACAAATGTGACAATGCTTTGACGAGGGCAAAGCTGTCTTCCTTGCTTGAGGTGTTAGGAATACAAAAGCTCGCTGGAGTTTCTCACATCCTGTGTCGCTGCGGGCCCTGCTGATGCAATATCCCAGTGGCCGAGTGCCCGAGTCCAGGCCTGGGTGCTGTGTCTGCCGCTTCATCACACTGCTGGACCTGGCATCGCCAGGTATGTTACTGCTCCTTGTCAGAGGACGGTTTCCACGGGACACAATGGCCTTTCGGCTTCTCTGTGAGTGGCCGTGCCTTAGGAGGGGCTGGCATCTCGAACCTCCAGCTCTGGCACGGAGAAGCCTGCATCTGCACTAAGCCACTTATCACAGCAGCAAGAGAGCCAGGCGCCTGCTCCCCTGTGCAATCAGCTCCCTCAACCTCCCAGGCCAGCCTCTGCTCTCAGAAGAAAATGACCTCTCCTGGCGAGAGGAACATAGTCGAGACTTCTTGGAACAATCAGCAGAACCAGCTTTGGAAGAGAGACTGACAAAGAATCCAGGATCCAGCTCTTTAACGCTGATGCCTTCCTGTTTACTCAATGATTTAGATACGATTAAACTCATGGAGACATAATATCCTCCAACTAGCTGGCCAGGAGCCTGCCAGCCAGACCTCGAGTGCTGTGACAAGGAAATGGATCCTGCAAAAGCTGGTGGCAGGCTCCAAACAAAGACCTCATTCTGAGTCTCTGGCGCTGTCTCCACCCTGGATGGGGCAGCTGCCAGGGACTGGAGGCCCCAGGCTGCAGGCTGGGGGCGGGGAGCCGGGGGCCAGGCAGGACTTGTGCTAATTCCTTGGGTGTTAAGTCCCCTGTTCACTTCCTGAGCAGAAGATACCTTCCGCTGGAAACTGCCATAAGCCTGGAACTTGTTTTTCTTACTTATCAGTATGTGATGCCATCACGTGAAAGTCAGAAAATGCCCTTGTTTCACTGTGTTACTGCAGGGAATGGCAGGTTGTAAGGGAAGTTACCAGCACCACTGGACTCCTGGCTAAATAACAGGCCCTCCTAGCATGGACAAGGGAGAGCTATAATGACAGGCATCGAAGTTGCCTGTGGGCCTTCCCCTGGTGACTCCAGGGTAAAGAATCTGCCTGCCAATGCAGGAGACAAGGGTTCCATCCCTGATCCAGGAAGATCCCTCACGGCACTAAGCAACTCAGCCCTTGTGCCACAACTACTGAAACCCCCAAGCCCTAGAGCACGCCCTCTGCAACAAGAGAGGCCACCATGATGAGAAGCCCACACACCACAACTAGAGAGGAGCTCCTGCTTGCTGCAACTAGAGAAAGCCCATGCAGCAATGAAGACCCTGCACAGCCAAAAGTAAAAGAAATAAAGTTATTTTTTTTTTAAGTTGCCTGTGAAACCCTTGCATAAAGTGTATGTGAATATCTCACAATTCAGCAGGAATCAGAAGCCCCCTCTCTTCACCCCTCTTTGGGCCTCGGGAATTGAACTCAGTCAGGCTAGAGGACATGTGAGAAAGCTTCTGACTGATCAAAATTGTTGGCAAGGCTACTTGTGGACAGCGGATACATAGAGAGAAGCAAATCCATGAAATCGTAAGCTCCCAGCTGGTGGATGATGTGGTTCTAATCTCAGTAAATGCGCAGAGCACATCCTGACATGTTTCACATAAGCTCAGTGAGGATCTCAGGTTTCTGTAAGCAATGGCATGAGCAGGCAGTGAGTGGAAATACACTTTAACAATGGCGTTTCTCACCGACATAAGCTGTCAGACTTTGAAGAAGACAGAATCTAGGGTTTCACACTGTGTTCAAGTTATCGTTCACATCACATACCTTGGCAAGACCTTCCATCCTCGTTGAGGGTAAAACCAGGGTTGCATGTACAGGAATAAGATCCGGGAACATTCGCGCACAGCTGCTGGCAGTAGCCATAACGACATTCATCAATGTCTGGAAACAGAATTGCAAGCAAGGTAAGATATTTCTTCTCCATCACCAATGCCACCCCCAGCATCATTACTGCCCATCTCTTCTGGAACAGGATAACAAAGGGAAGCGAAGGGGAACTAATGCAAAGACAGCACCGACTAAGCCACAGGGAGGGTGACAACCCTCTGGATTCTGGGCTCAATCTCCCCACCATCCTCCATGACCTGTCTCAGTCTTGTGAACACCTGAACCTATCTTGAAAGTTGCAGAAAAAAATTTTTTGCTTAGAGAGGAACGTTGGTCAAGGTGACCTCTAGGATTTCATCCAAATCTAAGACTTAACACTAAGATGAATCCAACCCTGACAGTCGCTCTCAGATTCTACAGAAACATGTCACTGCCCTGGGAAGGGACAAGTTAAAGTGTAAGAGGATTCCATAGCCTGGTTCCTATAGGCTCTTTGCCAGCTCAAATAATAATGAATATGGGGACTTCCCTGGTGATCCAGTGGTTAAGAATCTACTTGGTAATGCAGGGGATACTAGTTTAATCCCTGATCAGGGAACTAAGATCCCAAACGTCATGGGGCAAATCAATGCACATACCACAACTAGAGAAGCCGCCACTCGCCAAAACTAGAGGGCCTGCCCGCTTCAATGAAAGATCCCGCATGATGCAACTAAGACCTGACACAGCCAAATAAATAATTATTTCTTTAAAAATAATAATAAATAATGAATATGTCTGGCTGTTGGGAACAAGACTGGGTACCGGCTAGGCCAAGCTGGGGAGCACTGCAGTCTGGAGACGTGTGAACCCAGGAGCACGAGGATTCTGGAGTTCACCTTGAATCTCCTCCTTGTAGCACAGCAGCCTTAAAACTCTGGATAAACACACCTTTTTCAAACTACAACCAGCCTTTCTTGAGCAAGCAGCTATGTGGGTGAATGGTTCCTTTTAGCAGAGCCAGGCTGACATGTACCAGTCAATGGGGAGTCTGAGTATGGGAAAGCACTTTCCAACACCCCAGGCTGATGGGCTGGAGAAATCACTCCTGCAAGATAGGATGTTTTGAATGAAGCCTCCAGGTGGGGACTAAGCTCTCACCTCACTTATAGCTATAACAGGTCCCTATTTCATCCTCAACTCCTCCTAAACATTCCCCCTCTGGTATCCCAGTTCCTTTGGAACCAGGGTCCATCCAGGGTTTTGAAGATCAGCTTAGAACTTGTCTCTGTGCCTGGCTTCTACCACCTACTGCCAGAAAGCAATAGTCTTCATTGGAAGGACTGATGCTGAAGCTCCAATACTTTGATGCTGATGAGAGGAGCTGACTCATCAGAAAAGACTCTGATGCTGGGAAAGATTGAGGGCAGGAAGAGAAGAGGGAGACAGACGATGAGATGGTTGGATGGCACTGACTCAATTGACAGACATAAGTTTGAGCAAACTCTAGGAGAGAGTGAAGGACAAGAAAGCCTGGTGAGCTGCAGTCCATAGTGTTGCAAAGAACTGGACAAGACTGAATGACTGGACAACTGCCAGAGGTACCCCACCTCCATATTACTCATTGTTCAGCCCCCCTCAGAAGCTGTGTCCTGCCCTTGTCAATCTGTTTTATCTCTGACTGGCAGCTACTTTTAACCCGGCTCACCCCACTGCCTAGTGAGTGGCACTCAGCTCCCATGTGGAAAGCACACTGACTTATGCAGTTGCTGGTCCTGACTCTTATGTGGGTGTAGTTGGGTGTATCCCCAAGCCCAGAGAGGAAGCAGGGGGAAAAGAGGGCATCTTTGGTCTTAGAGGTAGCTTGGAGGAAAGGCAATCCCCTAGTCCTTCTTTTTCTGCAAAGGCAATGCCTCCAAAGTCATGCAGAAAGGGTGGTGGATGGCTATGGAACTTGCACCTTGAAAGCAAAAGAAGAGTTTGGCCAGGAAAAGGCACAAGTTTAGCCATATTGGGGAATGGTCCTCACTTTGGATGTCAAGTGTAAGCAGACTGTGTGTGCAGCACCATTAGGCCTTCAGGAGCATCCTTCCTAAAGTTTCATGCTCTGTGGATAAGAGCAACCCTCCTGGGAAAGGAATGTCCCAGTTACTGTCCCCACTCAGATGGGGAGGGGTTTCCTGGCCCCAAGGTCTCTGCAATCTGGCCTGCATGTCCCAGTCACCTGGTCTTCTCTAGCACCTCCTTGTGGGGGAAAAAAACTGGACTGAAAAACAGAACATAGATTTTAGACCCAACTAACTCTTTGTCCAACATGTTCCTCCTCTGTGAGTCTCAGTTTCCAACTCTATTAAAGGTGGGTGACATAATATGTAACATCCCTTCCAGCTCTGAAATGCTACATATTGAGTTCCCATACAAATAACTCACGCTGATCTGCTTATGTTCAAATCAGTGGCCTCAAATTTTCCATAATAGCTGAGGTTGGTTAAAATGCAAGGCAATCATCATATTCACATATGCCCATATGCAGCCAGCTCTTTGGTGCCTGGAAAGGAGAACCAAGTGAGGTCCAGGCTGGCTCGTCAGGCCCCTTTGGGCAGGGCTCTAGAGGAGGCCTCAACTCAGTCTCAATCAAGAGAAAACAGGAAAAAAGAATCTTTTTGTCTGTTTGTTTCCATGATGTTGTTTGGATTTATTTCTTAGCACCTCCAGGACTGACTTTCAAGCAAGAGAACAGTGTCTTGAGACTTTAAACTAGAAGGGCTTTTCCAAGAAAACAGCAAAGAAATCACACCCTAGAAAGAGAAACTGAAATGACAACTAGAGATTGCTATGAATGCATTCACTTGGCTAAGCCAAAGACTAGAGGTGAAGAAAGGAAAATAGCCCTCCAGTAAAAATAAACAGAGGGATCATACAGCCGATGCCAACTGCAAGGGACAAAATTCTCAATAGGTGCTGACTGACTTCTTAAAAAAGACCAGAGCTAGAGGGGTGGGCGGGGGGTGGGGGCTATGGTGGGGTATTCGAAGGAGATGATGTTAGATCTGAATCCCCTGATTCACATTTGAGACCTGGGACATTTCTGTGACAAAGCAAGCATTCTCTTCTTTTGGTAGGATTTCTAATTAGGGACCCATGGGGTCGCTAAGAGTCAGACATGACTGAGCGACTTCACTTTCACTTTTCATTTTCATGAATTGGAGAAGGAAATGGCAACTCACTCCAGTGTTCTTGGAGAATCTCAGGGATGGGGGAGCCTGGTGGGCTGCCGTCTATGGGGTCGCACAGAGTCGGACACAACTGAAGCGACTTAGCAGCAGCAGTAGCTAATTAGGGAATAACCTAATTAGAATAACCCTCACCTCTATCACTTCCTGCCTCTGTTATAAATTTCCAAAGGCAGAAAGAAGGTCTAGGTAAAACCAAATATGAAAATTTAAAAGTTACATTAAAAAATTCTGATGATGGAGAGGCAGTGACGAAGGCCTGAAAAGCACCTTCCTATCCTGGCAGAGTCTTTATTGGACCCTATATAAACAGGACAGCGAAAGGGAGGAAGACAGCAAGGTTCAGGGCCTGAAAAGCAGGGTAAGAGGCTGCAGCCATGATGGATCGATCCCAATTGTCAACAGCAGGGAGCCAGGCTGCCGTAATCTTGTCTACATTTGGGACTGGATAAAAACATGTTTTGGTGGTTCAGTGGTAAAGAATCTACCCACAATGCAGGAGATGCAGATTCCATCTGTGGGTTGGGAAGATCCCCTGGAGAAGGAAATGGCAACCCACTCCAATATTCTTGCCTAGGAAATCCCATAAACAGAGGAACCTAGAAGGCCACGGTCCATCAGGTTGCAAGAGACACAACTTAGTGAGTAAACCACCATCACTGTCATAATAAAAATAAGAGAAAGTGAAAGTGGTTCAGTCACGTCCAACTCTTTGCAACAACATGGCCAGAATACTGGAGTGGGTAGCCGTTCCCTTCTCTAGGGGATCTTCCCAACCCAGGGATCAAACCCAGGTCTCCTGCATTGCAGGCAGATTCTTTACCAGCTGAACCATGAGGGAATACTGGATTGGGTAGATCCAAGAATACTGGAGTGGGTAGCCTATCCCTTCTCCAGCAGATCTTCCTGACCCAGGAATCAAACCAGAGTCTCCTGCATTGCAGGCAGATCTTTACCAACTGAGCAATCAGAGAAGCCCAAAAATAAGCACGTGGGGGAAAAAAAAAATCTCTGGTGATGACATGCCATGATGTGGTGATGGTGACAAGTGATCTTAAAGGGTGGTGCTCCATGTAAGCTCAACAGTCTTCTGCCACCCCCAACCCCAAAGAAAAGCACACTGCCCTTAGACCACCCAGCCGTGACCACAATTCACAATACCCTGAGGCAATCATTCACTTTCAAGAGTTTCTGTATTACCTAAGCACTGGCCTTCGAGTAGCCAGTAGCCATCCGTGCAGGAACAGGTGTAGCCTCCTTCGGTGTTGATGCAAATCTGGGTAGGGTTGCACTGGTGGGAATCCGTTGCACACTCATCCACATCTGTAACACAGACATATTCCAGAGAATGTCACCTATATCTGTTTAGAGCCCTGGAGCCACCAAAGGTGCTAGTTGCTTGCTTGTCTGGCTGGGAGGCAGTTGATTATGTCCCCGGGTTACATCACCTCCCTAACAGGTACCACTAGGAGACCCTGGCCTTTCTTGAGGGGGCAGAGCCAATCTGCTCCCTGGAAATCTACAAGGGAAATGGCCAAAAAGAAACATCCTTAAGCACTGTTCTGCCATCCTGTCCAACATTCTCTGAAAGCAGGTTCACCTTGATAACAACCATTACTTGACTTAGAAATGTATTTTGTATTAGGCTTATCCATTCACATATAAACAGGTCTGTTGGTACCTTCTGGGTGCACAGAGCCATGATAAACACCTCTGAGAACAATAACGGAAGGAAGAGAAACATCCCTCGCTAGCGGAAGCTTGCAAGTCACTTGACTGCATCCATGCGTGAAAATCTTTTACGTTAGGGCCACTGTTCCTTCAGGAAGCTTCTAGGAGCCCTCCAGCCTTCCCTCCTCCACCCCAGAGCTCTGGGGCTCACCTTCTGCTGCCCTCTGCTCAGACTGGGTTTCCCCATGCTGTTGGTACACATGCCCACCCACCTGTCTGCTGCCGGGCAGGTACTTGTGTCCAAGTCAGTCTCTTCTCCTTCATTGGAACCGTCAAAGCGCAGAGACCAAGCTGTATTATGGCCCCGTTTCTCATGTGCTGTACGCAGTACTCAAAACTGTTTCCACTGAAACGAATCCTACTTTCTTTTCTCCCCACACTGCACCTTAGGGAGTCCTATAGTGGGTGCTCCTGACACCACACCCTCACTTTGACAAAACTCCACAGGGATTCACCCAGCGCCCTTAATTCATCTGGCCTGGTCCTGCCTCTCCTCTTCACTCCCACCCTCACCTGCCTGCATCCTTAGTAGGGCTCCTGCCTTTTGCCCTCTCATCAGGGTTTGCTCATCTACACCCTACCCCTCCAGAATGGACCATCACACCATCAGAAATACCAAGCTGAGAAAAAGTTTGTTAGGGTTTTGCCATAACAGCTTCCGAAAAACCCAAACAAACATTTTGGCCAACCCAGTAGCATTAAAAGGGGCACTTCCCGGAGACTGAGCAGTGCGCCCGATTCCTCATTCTCCTCTCACAGTCGCCCCATGCAGTGGGCTGGTGATTCCCATTTCACAGATGGGAAAATAGCGCTGAACATGCTATAGCATCAAGGCCAGAGAAAAGTTCAGGCCTCCCTGCCCCCTAGCCCCCTCTGCGCAGAGATGACAGGGCTCGGGCTGCCGGGCCCCGGCAGGAGAAGCAGAGGAGACAGGGTTGAGTTTTGCTGCCTTTTCCTGCCCCACCTGGAAAACTGTCTGCCTCTTGACATTGTAGATGGCAGACTGGGGGCAGGGGGGCAGCGCTGGGAGCCCCGAGGATTCCAAAGTGTTAGCTCCATCAGTAGCACAGGTGTGCACTCGGGAAACGAGCACAACTGATCCAGTGAAACAAACATTCAGCCAGGTAAGTGATGGTCTCCTGGGTCTAAGGACACCACCAACCACAATCCACCACCATGCGCCTCATCAGTCAACACCAAGGATGCTGGTCAGTTCCCACCCCAGCCTCAATGACCAGAGTCTGGACATCCCATGGAACCAGGCTCCAGCCTTCTCAACATGGACAACCTCCAAGAACCTACTTCCAGGGTGGCAGCCACCTCTGCTGCGCCCCAGCGATGTAGAGCCTTGATGGAAAAGACCCAGGGCCTTCTCAGCTGCAAGAGTTCCTGCCTTTGCCCCGGGCATCGCCTCCAGCCCCAGCTCTGCCCACCCAGCAGAGCCTCCCAGGGGAACCAGCAAATAATGCTTGGCCGGCAGCCGCTCCTGCTCAAATCAGTATCGAAGCCCAGGATAATAAATAACGCCACTATCGGCCAGCACATATTTACATTTTTCCGGCGGGAAGTGATGGATGACAATTGTACCCTGGGAACAACACTGCCTTAGGAATGTGTGCTCTTTATCCTGCTTCGAGGGGAATGGAGGGTGAAGGAACAGCAGAGCAGTCAGAAGCCCTGGTGACAGCGAGTTCCCAGGACTCTGTGCTTGTGTAACTTGCATGGAGACAACGTGCCCCCACTAGCCTGACAGAGAGCCACCAAACTGGGAGAGGCCCAGACTGGGCTCAGAAAAGCGTGGGAGGCCTCAATGTGTAGGCACGTGCAAACTATCCAAATCATCCAGAAACAAAATCTCTAAGGTTTATTTTTTTTTTAATCCACCATTTTTACTCAGATAAAGAACTAACTCAGTTATACTGCATATCTGTTGATGGACATTCAAAAAACTAGTTGAATTGACTGATTGGATGACCTGAGCGGGTTGAATTCATTGTCAATTGATTGACGTTGTATGGATGGTCAATCTAAATATGTTCTGAGAACTCAATAAGTCTGGGAGTCCCTGGGGGAAGTATGTCCCATCTTTGTATCCTCAAAATATACCTGGTTTAACTTGGGTCCATGCATGTGTTAAATCATGTCTGATTCTTTGTGACCCCACGGACTGTAGCCCACCAGGCTCCTCTTGTCAATTGGTTTTCCAGGCAAGAATACTGGAGTGGGTTGCCATTTCCTCCTCCAAGGGATCTTCCCTCCAGGGGATCTTCCTTCTCAGAGGGATCTTCCCACTGAATGGAACCCATGTCTCCTGCTTGCATCTCCTGCCTTGGCAGGCAGGTTCTTTACCACTTAAGCCACCTGGAAAGTCCCCACCTTGGGTCCATAGTAAATGTTTAATGAATGAATCAATGAACACATGGGCAACACACATTAAGGCCTCTGAGTCCCCAGACAAGTTTTTCCAGCCAACTTGCTGACAAGTGTGTAGACTTTAAAAACAATCACCCCACCAAAAACCCCCATCAGCCTGCACACCTGAGGGGCTGAAACTGAGAACGTTCACGCCTTGGGTTCCGCACGAGGTGAAAAGACTCATCACACATTCCAGCTCACAGCTGAATAGCTTACATTAAATACCTTTGACTTAAATAACAGAAAGGAAAAAATACGTCGAACCACTCCCAAGGACATTCTTTGGCAAAGCGGCCTTTTCTGCACCAGTGGAAAAGTACAAGTTAGTAAGTGCCATTATTCTCAGATGCAAATTGTGCTGGTTACTCCTTTCCTTTTCTGTGTAATGTTTAGGAAATGTCCCTTAAGAGAAGAGGACGCTGGGTTCATTCAATCATTCATGCCCTCATTCATCTATTAACTCTTTGTGTTCTACTCTGGGTGGGTGGGTGGGTGGGTGGGTGTGTGGGTGTGTGTGTGTGTGTGTGTGTGTGTGTCCTCCCAAATCTCCAGGCTGCTGAGAGAGCCAGTAGGGAGCACAGTCCCTCCAACCATGTGACTCCCACAGTGTCTCTCCCAGGGCTGTGGTCCTGGGCAGCTGCCTGGGCCCTTCGAGGACTCCAGCACAGCAGCTGTGGCCCGTCTCTCCTCCACCAGGACATCTACCCACTGTCCAGGTGACCAGCACCCCAGTAACTGGAGGACAGAGCTCCCTGATCACAGCCCAGCACTGCACCCGCCCAGGGAGAAATCATTCTCCGTGTTGAGCAGCACAGCCCTGCTGCCCGGTGCCGCTGAGCTGTCGTCCTTTCCTGCAGACCTCCCCAGGGTGGCCTTCACTTACAGCATTCTCAGGACTTCCCTGGTGGTCCAGTGGCTAAGACTCTGCACTTCCGACATAGGGGGCCCTGGTTCGATCCCTAGCCAGGAAACTAGATCCCACATGCTGCAGCTAAGAATCCACATGCCACAATTAAAAGATCTCACAAGATCTCACATGCAGCAACTAAAAAGAAAATGTTATGCCTCAGCAAAGACTGAAGATGCGACTGCATGTTGCAATTAAGACCTGGCACCCAATAAATAATAAAATAAATAAACACATGTGCATGCATGTTAAGTCACTTCAGTCGTGTCTGACTCTTTGCCACCCTATCGTCCATAGCACACCCCCTGCCCCCGCCAGGATCCTCTGTCCATAGGATTCTAAAGGCAAGGACGCTGGAGTGGGTTGCCATGCCCTCCTCCAGGGGATCTTCCTGACCCAGGATTCGAACCTGTGTTACTTACGCCTTCTGCATTGGCAGACAGGTTCTTTACCACTAGTAGCACCTAGGAAGCCCCAAAATAAATGCACATAAAAATGATTTTTTAAAGTACAGCAATCTCAAACAAAACCTACTAACTTAGAGAAGTTCTCAAAGCAGTCAACCTCATCCCCTTGACCTGCTTCCCGGAGGCAGAAGTGAGCTCCCGGCCTTGGTACAGCGGCCCACATGTCAGACATACTCATTCAGGAGGTCATATCCATAGCTGTGTCGCATGTTCCCAGCTGGGGCACTAAGGCAGCAAGATCTCACAGGGGTACCAGATGGAGAAACTGGCCTCAAGACATCAGAATACATCTGCCCAACAAACCAGGACAACAAAAGGAACAGAATCGTCCAGGCTGAGACCTTAATAAACATTTCTCTGAAGAGAACATACAAGTGGCCATTAGGCACATGAAGAGATGCTCAACATCACAATTATTAAAGAAATGAAAATTAAAACTGCAATGAGGTACCACCTCATACCAATCAGAATGGCCATCATTTAAAAAGTCTACAAATAAACACTGGAGAGGGTGTGTATAAAAAGGAACCCTCCTACACTGCTGGTGGGAATGTAAGTTGGTGAAGCCATTATGGAAAACAGTGTGGAGTTCCTCAGAAAACTAAAAATAGGATTACTATATAATCCAGCAATCTCACTTCTGAGCACATACCTGGACAAAACAATAATTTGAAAAGATCATGCACCCCTAGTTCATAGCAGCACTATTTACAGTAGCCAAGACATGGAAACAATGTAAATGTCCACTGACAGATGAACGGATAAAGAAGATGTGATACATATATACAATGGAATACTACTCA